GTACCTGTGGAAAAACAATTTTAAGCAAATTTCTCTGATGCCTTCAGAAACGTCATTTCTCTGACAAAAAAAAAAGAAATGGCAAATGCAAGCATATATTGTCATATATGCTCAATACATTGTTTAGTTTTGCTTAACTTTTTTTTCTAATCCTTTCTATAAGGAATGACTTGCTATGTAAGAAAGAGTTAAGGAATATATTTGATAACGAATATGATGTTGAAACAAAAGGTATTCAAAAAGAGACGGGCAAGTAATATTAGCCCTCTTCTAGATCACGTAAGCCATTGGCTATATCTTGCCTCATCAATGTGAAGGACCCAAATGTGGAACTAAATAAAATTCCTCTTGTCAGCCCTAGTCTGCCCCTCCCAGCACTGTTGCCATTGCTAAAGCTGAAAAAAAAATCCAAGTCTGAAAAATTACCACAAACGATAGTGTCATCAAACCACTTCCTACACACTTGTGGCCTAGTGAGAAAGAGCGCCAAGCATGATTTCCTGGCAGAATGCTACTAATAATTAAAGAGAGTGAGTCCCTCTAGTCAGAAGGATTGGATGGACCTCAGCAAGATGGTTTATTAATTCTTGGGTCTTCTTCTCAGAGGTTTATTTGGTCTTCCCCAAAACAGGTATTTAACCTACTCTCCTGGACTGCATACAATGAGGAGGTAAGGTGGCAACCTCTAAGAGATGTGCTGAGAAAGAGGAACTTTCATTTTTCGTCGGCTCCAGGTGGGCAAACAAAGGGGCCAGGGAGATGGCCTGGAACTTTCTTCTGATGTGGGGAATATTCACTTCACTCATGGTAGCAGATTATGCAAGAGGTAAGAGTACATGGCATATTTTTAAAACATCAAACAATTTGTTTTATAATTCCATCCCACTATGAAATCCCTTTCCTCTTCTAACAGCAAGTACAACTTGCTTTTAACTGTAAGAATGACAAGTTCAGTGCAGGTAGTTAAGAGCCCAGCGTTTTATTGCTGATTCCATTGAAGCTTCATTTTGTTCCTCATTGGTCCCTATCTATAAATAACTGTATTGGACTCTTAAGGGCTTTCCTGTTCAAAATCTTAATTTTTTGTAAGAAAAGCAATAGCGTAATAGTTCATTGTTAGGATGATATTGGTCAATATCTCAAGACATTCTCTTTTCTTTATCAATACCTTTAGATGTCCATTTTGCACACCTCTCTATACTATGAAATAGTCAGGAAAAGTAGTAGACCTTCTTCCTGATTTCTGGTCTGATATTCCTGAGATGCTATTTTGATTAAATGGACTGATTAAATGTCTCAATTTTGTCTGTAGAATTCCTGCCAGAACAATTTTGTCTCCATGATGCATCTGGGTCAATAGAATTTATATTTGCTGACGTGATTTGAAATATGTTTTCTCAAAGGCTTTGACAGGGATGAAAAGAGAAAATAAAGGACCATTCTTTTTCCCCTTTACCTTTCTATTCCTCCCTCAGCTCTTTCTAGTTGAAGATGTACTTCATAACACCTTCTCTCCATCAAAAGAGAGAGATATGAGATCTTGGATATTAAAACCCATTATAATATTCTTTAAAAAAGAAAAGAAAAAGAAATTCAACCATTTGGGTGCAGAAAAAAGTAGACTATGAAGCCAAACATGTCCATATACTTAGTGTTTTATAAGAGTTGGAGGTGGGGGGGATTAGAAAGAGAAAAAAGGGAGCCAAATGGTTGGGTATGGCTGTCTGCTGAATGATCAATCTTGAGCTACATACTAGCCAAGCTTGTCATTTGAAACAGTTGTAAGAATAACTTGCATGCGATACAATGAATTAGAATTGAAATAATTTTTGGATGGAAACTATGATGGAGGATTGAACCCATATCCTGCCTGTACTGCTAAGTAATATGATCCTGTGGGTATATGCTAACATTTCCCAAAATGACAAATTATTCCAGGGAGACATATTTCACAAGAATTCAGATCTTCACTGACCATTGATAACAGTCAGTGGAGGACCTAAATGGTTCTGGGTGTTAGTGGAGTGGAGAAGTCATATTTACAGCAGGCTGCATTTTGATTCTGTGGTCAGTGTACTGAGAAGAAAGTACTCTAATGAACTGAATGTCTTGTCTCAAACTTTCTCCTTCAAAGCAAACTAAGGCTTGAAATACATGTCATTTTGGTTGTCCAGTGGACAGTTTGACAACTCAAATCAAACAGACCATCAGCAGACACAATTTCTCGCTGATTTACAACGTCATTTTTCAGTCTGTAATTTCCCAGAGCTGCTGTATAAAATTGTGTCAAGCGAGGAATCAGTAAATGTGGGTGGTTTTATAGTCTCTATATTACTGGTTCCTGGGATGTGGCTAGAAGACATGTTCTCCTACCGTTGTCACCACAGCATATTGCTAGAGGCATCTTTCTCAGAACTGTGGAAATACTGAGAGGTCACCAATCTCCTGAGTATTTGTTTTTATTCTAGGAATTCTCTGACCAAATATTGATTTCTAGACTTAAGGGGAAAAAAAGAGTGGAAACCCTTGAAGACGATATTTTTGGATAATTATTCCTTCTTATAAAATCTGCTGCCCACACTGGAATTTCCCATTTGTATATTTGTCACAAAGACAAAATAACTTACTGTTTGCATTAAAAGTCTCTCATTACAGACTTCAAAGGACATTGCTGAGACTTTCTTGTTCATCTCTTATAATGCCACTGAGAATTAAGTTATAAAGGATAGGGATAAGGATTGGTCCACTTATTTCACTGACATAAAGAACTTCCAGGTTCACAAACTCTTTCTATCAATGCAGATAAAGACCTCTTGTGCTACTTATAGTATTAAGAGGGTTGCCTAGCAGCACTGAGAAATTAAATGCCTAGCATCACATTTCAAAATATTCCTGGAGGACTTGAATTAAGGTTTTCATGGCTCTGAGGCCAGTTTTGCTCCCTCTATACAAAATATAATACCATTTAAAAAGTTTAACTCAAACCAACTTTTAAAATGAATGTAGTGGACTACCAAATATAAACGCATTTTGAGAAATGAATTGTAGGAGACTATATTAATTAGATGGCTTAATTAGATGATTTTCTCAAACTTACTCAATGCTAACACATGCATGCCACCAAAAGGTAAGAATTATCAAGGAGAAAACATACAACTTATATATGCTTTTTCCCTCTCTTAAAAGATACATTTGTTGAATGTCAGTCACAGACTAGTTTAACCACAGGCTGAGACCTTTATAAAACTCTGAAGGGGTAATCCCCATACAAAAGGTTCACAAGAACACCTGGCCAATGAAATGCTACATACACTGGAGGTAAAACAGATACATCCTCCTTTAACATGGCATGGTTCTAAATAGGTATTACTTTTATGCACCTTCATTTTATATATTTGGAAATTAAGGAAACAGAAAGGAAAATTGAAAGCACCCAGTGATTTATAACTAAGACTAAAACCAAAGCCTATAGTTACACCTTCACTCCAAATAAACCTAGCTTGGCCACCCATACTCCGTAGCCAGAAGCAGTTAGGTGTCACGGTGGATAAAACACTAGGCCTGGAGTCAAGAAGACTTGGGTTCAAATCTGGCCTCAGACACTTACTACCTATGTGACCCTGGACACATCACTTAACCTGTATGCTTCAGTTTCCCCAAATGTAAAATAGGGATAATAATAGCATTTACCTCACAGGGTTGTTGTGAGGATCAAATGTAAAGTGTCTAGCACATAGCAGTGACTTAATAAATGTTTGTTTTCCCCTCTCTCCCTCATGGTTATCTTAAGCATCATGATTCCTAAATCAAATCTATGTCTTCCATTTGTATTATTGTAGGATTTGCTCACAGACTACTTAAAGTACTTTCCCTTCTTCTTATACCACAAGATCGTCTCAACATCCTTGAAATCAAACCAAACATCTCTTAGGAACCTGGGAACTTAGTAGAAATTAAATATAAAATGAAACAAGTCTAGTTAAAATGAGATATTTTCAAGTCAGATATACTTCTAAATAAAGAAGGTTTCTAATATGAGAATATGCGAGACAAAATCTAAGTTCAGAGATCTTGGAGCTGTCAAAGGCTTATGCTTTAGCACATTATTTACATATTACATCATGCTCTTGTATGACTCCAACTACGTCCATAATTAGAACTGCTTTAAGAGTCATAGCAAAAGGGCAGCTGGGTTGCACAGTAGATATAACACCGGCTCTGGAGTCAGGAGGACCTGAGTTCAAATCTGGCCTCAGACACTTGACACTTAACTAGCTGTGTGACCCTAAGCAAGTCACTTAACCCCATTGCCCAGCCAAAAAAAAAAAAAGGAGTCACAGCAAAAATACAACTCATTATTTTTTTCTCCTCTCTTTTCTGAGGAAATATTTGCATTGATATGATGTCCATAGACCCCTACTATCTCTATTCCAGGCTGCATCTACTATGAGAAAGCCGCTGCTCTAAAAGAGGAAGACTTCATCTTTAAATGAGAATGTCTCCAAAGATAACATGTTCCCAATCGCTGGGAATGTTATAGCAAAGAACGTATAACAATTGATTAAGGCTGTTGCAAAAGTCATTTGTATGTGCTACAAACCATACTCAATGACCTCTAAGGGTTGTCTTCTCATAATCTGGCCCTTACTTCTTCCTTCCCCTTCCCTGCCCAAGATTTGCTAAAAAGTGGTTTCTAGGTAATAAATAAGGGGAAGAGAGAGAGAAACACAGGAAAACTGGGGCAATGGAACCCCTGTCTTCTTTCTCTTTGTCCTGAGCTACTGGATTACAACAGCCTCAAGAATGGCTATATTCTAAATCTCTGTCTTGACTTTTATTTCTCTGGCTTATTACCTTGGGCTGGCAGAAAGAAGAAGAAAGAAAGAAAGAAAGAAAGAAAGAAAGAAAGAAAGAAAGAAAGAAAGAAAGAAGAAGAAAGCAAGAAAGCAAGAAAGCAAGAAAGCAAGAAAGCAAGAAAGCAAGAAAGAAAGAAAGAAAGAAAGAAAGAAAGAAAGAAAGAAAGAAAGAAAGAAAGAAAGAAAGAAGAAAGAAAGAAACTGAACCTGACCATGTTTTGTGACCTAGTAGCTCACAAATTATTTGGCTACTTCACCACCCAGAGCCTTTCTCCAAAACAGGAACTGGATAAGTGTATTATTATACATTATTCCAGACTGCTTTGGTTCTCAATTTCTATTGCCCAAATATCCATCAGCTTAGCAACCATTATTTCATATATCACAATAATACAGTAAGCAGTGGTAATAATACAGAAATCCAAGGTGGAAAGGGAACTGTTTGGGAGCACACGACTTTCCTGTGTTAACTCCATCTCACAAAAAAGTGAAGCAAAAACTATGAAGGGGTGGAGAAATTAATGGCTGCTGCCCTCTTCTCACTCCCCAACCCCCACCTCCCAGAGCAATAGGAAGGAGAATTTGTCTTTGCTCTAAGGAGAGCAAGAGTCACCTCACTCAATCTGTTCTGCTAGACTCAACGATCACATTCTCACACTACCTTCAGGCACAATGCTGGCTGGTGTACCACCGTTGCAATAGAATCACATACTCCTTTCAGAGTCTCTGAACTCTGGGGAGAACAGAAAAGCACAAATCTAATGTGAAATGTTGGAATCTGCAAAAGCCTAAAGGACCTCAACATAGCAGGAACTCAACTTTCCACCCCTGAATTGTGACATCTTTCATCTTCCACCCTCAAATTCTTTGAGAACCATCATAGGTAACCCTCAGTTCATGACCTTAACATTCCTTTAGGAAGTCATTCCTTCACATTCAGTTTTTCTAATTTTGGAACAAATATAATAATTCTGGGGGGGGAGGGGGATAGTCTCTGAGCAGCTCGTGATCTTTCTGTTATTCTAAAGCATACATACACACACACACACACACACACACACACACACACGATGTCTATAAACAGTTTGTTAAGCTATGTTAGTGGCCAACTCTATGTATGGGAAAGGTATACATTGCCTGTATGCTGTAATTTTTTTAATTAGTTTTTTATTTTGATTTAAAAGAATTTAAAAATCTCTTCCTCCAAAATTATCTTCCCCACCATTATGCCAGACAGTTTCCGCTATTAGAACCCCAAGTGCCTGAAGGCTTTCTGAGGACTGTGCAGTTCAACTAAAGACATATATCTTACTTTGAAAAGAGGGCATACTAAGTAGTCAACATATTGGCAAACACATTTCTTTGATTAACCTATCAACACCTAGCAGAAAATATGGCCCATATAGAAATGGGCTGCAGAACATTTAAGCTATGATAGGGATAATGAGGTAGGAAAAGAAAAAATGTTTTTGCCTCCTCCTCTCTTCCAGTGAGGCAATTGAGTGGGGGACCCTGGACAGTCAGAGAATATCAAGAAGACAACAAGAGCCTAGATAGCAGAGCATTGAAAGTAGAGATGAGGGATTAAGTGAAGAATAAAGACAATCTTCATCTTAGGACAAACTCTGCCCCTAACACGCTCAGGCAGAAGCAATGTCAATACTTCTGTGCTGAGCCAGAGTTAGCACTTTGGTTGATCCTGGACTATGGAATACAGATCAAATTTGATTATAGCAAACCCAAGAAAGTTGTTCATACTGTTTCAGTGAGCTTGAATGTGGTTCTATCAAACATTGCTTGAAATAGGAAGGTCATTATCTGGAGGTTGAACATCATGTTAATGTTATAAGAAAAAAAATCATTTATTATGGATATAATGAGGTTAGAGTCTTCAGAATCTAAGATACAACTGCTAATGGTATTATCCCTATGGCTACATAGATGAGTCTATGACTGGTTATCTCAAATGGTCAGAGCACTGTGCTAATGAGGTCAAGGCCATGGGTTTAATCATTTGACTCATTTCTATGATTGGCTGTGCTCCATTATTCAATAAGGGAGAATGGGGAAGATAGTATGGATGAATTTATTCATTCAAAAATATTTATTAAACACATGCTTATTGTGCTAGGTACATATGAATCACGGAAAATTCTTTATCACTATTAGAAAAACAACTCAAAGTACACACGCTGACTGATGCTGGCTCATTATATTAAAGATAGTATTTTAGTAGTGATGACTATAATCACACTAGTGATATACCACTTTCATGTCCACCTAGAACACCTGGAGGGAGTTAGACTATAATCTATGGTTACTAAAGAACTCTCCATGTATACCAGGTGTATAAGGCAACAGTCAACTTCAGTCTCCCATTTCATTGAAATGATTTTGTTGCCAGCCCAGACCCCATATGCATCATTAAGGATAATAATCTTTGTGGAGATAGGTTCCACTTTTCCATCTTCAGCATCTAGCACAGTGCCTGGAACATAGTAGGTATTAATAAATGTTTGTTGACTGATTTATTTTGATATCTATGTAGAGGATGACTTGAAGGGTAGAGACACTAGAAGCCAAGAGTCCAATTATGAAGTTGCAATAGTCCAATCAAGAGGTGATTAGGATTAAACTAGAATAATAGCTATGTGAGTGAAAAGCAGACAGATACAAGGGATGTTGTGAAGATGGAATGGGCAAGACTTTCAACTCATACGTATGGGGCAAGAGAGAGGGAAAATATTTTGAACTTCAGTGACAGAAAGTGTGATAGTACTCTCAACAATAGTAGGAGAGTTTGAAGGAGAGAGACGTTTCAGCAAATAAGGCAAAGATAATGAATTTGATTTTGGAAAGGTTGCATTTGTGATATCTTTCTCCAGCTGGAGATATCCAACAGGCAGATAGTATTGACAATATTTGTGTATACATATCATATCATATATTAAAGTTATTTAGATAGAGATAGTAACTCATAAGATACTTTGCTCTAAAGAACAATGAAAATAGGATGGGCAAAGTAGGACAGAGTAGGATGAGGTTTCCTCCCCCCCAAAAAAAAACCGTCCTGAGAAGCCTCTGGGTAAGAGGGGCATAATCAGTATTGCAAAAGCAAATGTTTAGAAAAGTCGGGGTTATAGCGATTAAGTAATAATAGAAGCAAGCTGTAATCAGGTGCTTATAAGTAGAGGGAAGCAAGAGACAGCTGTAATGTTAATAAAGAAATGTGTTTTCATAAAGAAAAAAGTACAAATGAATAAAATAGTCTTATATCACTGTTCTCGTTTATCAAAAGTAAGACTAATTCCTTGGTCTATGTTACCCTCCACAGGCACTCCGGTTCATGTGATCTGGTGGCAACTAATTATCCTAACTGAATGATGGAAATACCCTCTTGTCAATTTTGATTCTCTATATCCTGCTTCTGTCACCTCTAGCTCCCTTTCTGTCTCACTCTCTGACCTCAAAAAAGCAGTTTTGTGTTCCTTCTTTGCATATAACCCGGTTTCAAAGAAAGCACCACAACCTAATCAAGTCTGCCCCAAACAGCCCACAAAACAGAGGAAATTCTGAGCCTCTCAGAAATGGACTAAACCTACTACATTCAGGAACTGCCATTTCTGCCCACGGAATCACCCACCATTTTCTGAAACAGATGAAAATAGATATCTCCCTCAGAAGCTTTGCAACAGCTTCTTCTATTGGTGAGGCAATGAATCACTCTACATATGTGTAGATGGGGTTGTGTGAGACCTCTAAGCAATAGCTTTATGAGTAAAAACGTTGAGGTTTTTCGTTGCCATCGTGTGTCATTCAGGTTGAAAAGAGACTTATAACCTCGTTGTCTGTAGTGTGGTCTATTTAGGGGTTACAGCAATTCATAAAGACTATCCACAAAGGCAGAGAGAAGTTGTGATCTGCCAGTGGATGAAATACTAGTGGAATCACAACTAAAGCAAACAAAAGATGGCCTGATATCGGTGATGCTAGGGAGACAGAGAGCTGCCTCATCCTGAAGGATGCTCTTGAATGCCAAAACAATATCAGGTTCGCCTTGGGTATTCTTGGGTCTGTGGCAGTTCCTCTGAGACTCCCAACAGACCCACACCTTCAGCCCTTAGCACGACCACCACCCAATAACTAATCCATGTTTATATTGAAATATAGCAACTCTAAATATTTATGTATAGATAGTTCCCTTTTTTCCTTTCAATAAAGTCATAGAATTTGAGAAGTGGAACCTTTAGGAATCTATTTTCCCAACCACCTCATTTTTACAGATTAGGAAATGAAGGCCCAGAGAAGAAAGGTGATTTGTTCAAGGTCACACAAGCTGCAGTTTCAGACCTTGAGTCCTCTTACTCCAGAACTCATGTCCTTTCCACCACAACACACAAAGAACACTTTTATAATTCAGTTCAACAAACATTTACTCTGGGAAAAGCATCGTACTAGGCACTAGGGAAGATACAAAAATAAACACGACCCAGTCCCTGCCTTCAAGGCTTTCACAAAGAAGATATTACAAAGAAAATAAGATGTATGAACAAATAATTACCATCCAAAAGATAATGTGGAAAGTGCTCAAAAGAAGTATAAAGTGGGAATCTGGGTCCCAAAAACCCAAAGATCTTTTTTGACTGGTGGATTTCAGAAAGGTCTTGAAGAATAGGTGATAAATATTTCAACTGGAAGGAATGAGCAGGGAGAAAGTATTCCAAGAATAGAGAATAAAAGTGGGAACCTGCTGAAAAGGAAAGCGTTAACTCAGACTCCACTTACTGGAAATTTGATTTAAACGAATCAAAACCAAAATTTTTCTTTGTTGAAGATTATAAGTGTTCATAAATCATGCAAATATATAGGATAAGCTATTATAGATGAAAGTGTTTAAAATCCTTGAAAGGCCAAACTGTAACTTCTTTCAAACACCAATTAACATTGTATTAACAATTAATATGCTAATTATAAATGTCCAGGTGTCAAGTAGCTCTTTAAGAGAGTTTGAATGAATGAGTGAATGAATATTATACAAAAGCAAAAAAAAAAAGCATTTCTTTTAAAAATATCTATTCATATTGGTTTACCCTTTGCCTCAGTTAAGATTTTTAACTGTATTTTCTATAAGAGGGGCAGGCAAAAGGGAAATTTTCCTTACGAAAAATCTGTTTATTAGGTTAATCTATGTTGATTTTTTGTTAATTTATGTTAATTTTATGTTATTTTAAGTTATAACTAATTTATGTTATTAGTATTTGCTTAGAGCTCCAGGACCTTAAACTATTGGACTTCTTCCGAACATAGTATTCTATAAGTTTCCCCATCCCTAGAGGATGACACTGAACTCTCTTCCAGGTGCCTCACTTTACAGAAGACTTTTGCATTAGCTCATCCACAAAGTGAGGTGCACCCTACCCCACTCTAGCCTTTATACCTTAACTAGATGAAAATTAATCTCAACCAATTATTCACAGCTTTAGACCAAGTGTGAAAAGTCTTTGAAGGCCATTGAATGAAGACAAAAGATGCCAGACTGAAAGTGTCTGAGATTTTGTCAGGACCTCTTGGTCTTGGATAAAAAGTTAGCTGGAATCAGAGTGCTCCAGAAAGCAAATGTTCAACTTTAGAGTTCCGATTCCTTGACTTTTAGACAGAGTAGGACCTTATCTACTCCAAAGGGTCCCCACTCTCCCACCCCAGAACAGCAGAAAGCTAAAGGGAGTGTCTGCATCAGAAGCCAAAGACAGACTGGATATAGTTTCAGTATGGTTGAAGGGAAATTTTTAAGTATCCAACAAAAGGGGGAAAGTGATTTTGAGTAATCAAGGGCTATGAGTCACCCCTTTGTCACCGGTGCTCTCTAAACTTGAGCTCACTTTCCCCTAAATTCTGTATATTATTATAGGAAAGTATGTCATAGACTTTGAGGGGGATGTTTTAGATGAACTTTTATTACCACCTTATTAAATATCACCTTATTAAGTACCACCTCGGTAAGTACCCTTTTGTAAAAATTAAACTATTTTCTTGAAGGGGAAGGGGATAAGAAAAGGGGGTGGGGTGGGGTGGGTATAGCCTTGTACATTGTACAGCGTTCAGGCATTTTCAACCAGATCTTTACTAAACAGATTAATGAGTTAAAAAAAACCTAACCTATTTTCAAATGATAATCTTGGGGAAAAGGCGGGGAGCACAGAGGTTTGTAAGTTCTTTGAGGGTAGAGACTGTCTTTTGCCTCCTTTTGTATCCCTAACACTTAGAACAGTGCGTGGCATATAGTAGGCATTTAATAAATGTTTATCGATTAATTGAGTCAATGATATTAGATAATCACACACACACACACACACACACACACGCGCACACACACACACACACACACACACACACACAAACTCACACACACACTCCTCAAATGTACTCCTAGATCCCAGAGGAGTCTGCCTTCCTAAGCATCCTAAGATTCACTAAGATCCTAAAGAATTGAGATTAGCATATTCAGAGAAACTGGGCTAAACATCTCTTTTGCCCAAAGGTAATGTTTTTATGTTGTTTCTACCTCTGAATAAAAACAGAACTCTGCCCTTGAACCACGCTGTATGAGGACTGCGGCATCTGTTTCCAGCTGTTTTGATACCACATGCCCTCTTCAGAAAACCTATTTCAGAGTCAAAGATCTATTCTTTCTCTTAATAGAAAAAAAAAAAAGAGAGATCCTGCTAGCAGCCACTGGCTAGAACACAGAGACCACACGTGTTAGAATTTAGCTCTTGATCTTCACTTATTTTTACTTTTCACTTTTGGCTTTCACTGTTCTCCTTTGCCCAAACCAGACCCACCAGTTTCACTTTCCCTCTCCTGTCATTTGCACTTCTTTGGGGCTAAATCTCTTGTTCAAGTGAATACAAATCACCCTCCTCAACATAGTATGACTATCCTCCCTTTTTGATTATCTTTCTTTTTTCTCATTTACTCATAGGAAAACAGTATGATGTGCATTCTTGGATTTTTTTTCAGGGCCCCTTAGACAAACTTCTGATCTCTTCTAATCCATTTTGTAATCCAGATAGTTTTTGTTTCCCAGGCAACTAAGACTTAAAATTACAAAGGAGTTACTGATCTGTATTAGTAGAGGTTTGTGAACCAGATTGCCTATACTTAAGTTTCATTGTTCACAGCAGCTTCTAGTCTAGTGGCCCCTCACTGTCTATAATTCTTTGTCCCCAAAACCTAAACTACTCTACCTGACATTCAAACTTTTCCAATACCAACCCTCAAACCACCTATCCAACTTAATCTCCCAGAAAAAAAAAAAGAATCTCATTTACTTATTCCCAAACTCCACCCTTTGCTTATACTCCAAGCTCAACCTTTCCGCAATAATATTTTTTTACCTTCCTGTTCAAATTCTGCCTGCCTAATGAAGAGACAGTTCAAGTACAGCAACAAAAGATATATGAAATCATGGGAAAGGAAAAGCATATGGACCTAGTCAGACACCTGGGTTCTTTTGCTTTAAGATATAAGTGGCATATATTTATATTCCAAAATGTTCATTTTCACACACATTGATCTTATGTTAGAAGACAGACAACTTATTTCCCTAAACTTCATGACTGGGATATTGCTTTAATGGTAAAGTAAAGAGAGAGCAAGTGGGCAAGCAGGATGGATATACTCTTTTAACCTTTCCAAAATTCGTTTGAGTTTTGATAAAGGTAAAGTTTTGGTGAACAATGGGCTATATGTATATCTGAGGATAAAAAGTGAAACTATTCAATACTTGCCTAGTATTTTCCTTGCCTGAGTATTAAGTCTGTGAGTGTATGCTTTCTATCTTTTATAAAAATTCTACCATTTTCCACCTATAAAAACACTCAAGGAAACATCTGTCCTGGTTTGAATTCTTTCTTAGTTCAGATAACACCAATACCAAGGCAACACTCCTTTTCTTTTTTTATGTTTTGCATATTTTAATTAAAATTTATTTTTTCTCTTTCCCACTTCCTTTGCCAAGGAAGGAAGGAAGGAAAAGAAGAGAGAGAGAGAGAGAGAGAGAGAGAGAGAGAGAGAGAGAGAGAGAGAGAGAGACAGAGACAGAGACAGAGAGAGAGAGAGAGAGAGAGAGAGAGAGAGAGAGAGAGAGAGAGAAACAAAGAAACAAAGAAAGGAAGGAAGGAAGGAAGGAAGGAAGGAAGGAAGAAGCTAACATTTAAACAGCACTTACCATGGTCTAGAGCTAAACACTGTACAATTATTACCTCATTTGATCCTCACAACAACCCTGGCACATAGGTAATATTATTATCTTCATTTTACAGATGAGGAAACTGAGGCAAAAACAAGTTAAATGACTTTCCCAGGATCACACAACTATAAAGTATCTAAAGCCAGATTTGAACACTCAAGTCTTCCTGACTCCAGGGAGGGAAGGAAGGAAGGAAGGAAGGAAGGAAGGAAGGAAGGAAGGAAGGAAGGAAGGAAGGAAGAAACGAAGGAACTTCATTATATTCATGAGCCACAATTCATTTAACTATTCCCCGATTGATGCGCATCTACTTTTGCCCCAATTCTTAGCTATCACAAAAAGTGTTGCTATAAATACTTTGGGGTATACAGGGACTTGCTTATAAATGGCTTCCTTATGGTATAGGGCCAGAAATGGAGTCTCTGGTCAAAAGGTATGGACATTTTAGTCACATTA